CTGCCGCCGCCGGGGGGGGGTGACAGCGGCGGTGTCGGCGGGCCGGGGATCGCGTGCGAGCGGGGTAGCCGGCGGCTCGCCCTGTCACTCGGCCGCCAGCCCGCCACCTGAATCACGAGGGAAGCGGCGGCCGAGCATCCTCCCCACCCCCGGCCGCCTCCGTCCCGCTCTCGCCGCCGCACCTCCGCCCCGGCACTGCCGCTCTGCGCCGCGGCCGGGGGGCGCTGCTCCTCGCCCGGAGAAACTTTGCACCCCCCCGGGGTCGTGGCGGGGGCCGTGGGGTAAGTCGTTGCATCCCGAGAGCTCGCGGCGGGCGGGCGAGGCTTCAGCCCGGGCTTTGCCGGGGGAACCGGGGGACCGCCGGCTTCTGCCGCTTCGCCCCCCAGACCACCAGCCTCCCTCCCGGGGGTGTCGATGCTCCCCCCGGACGTTTCGGCGGGGACCGCAGCCGCGCAGGACTGCCCCGGCGTCTTCCGCCCGAGAGCCGGTGATGGTCGGTCCGCGGTTCCCGGGGTGCCGGCTGCCCCGGGGGGATGCCTGGGGTGCCGCCCCGCCGTCCCCAGGGCTGGAACCGGGGTGGGGAGGGGGCAGAGGGCTCTGCCGTGGCACCTTGGCCACATCTGGCTTCAGCCATCCTTCCCGCTGGTGCCTCCAGAGACCTCCGGGGTTGGGAAGCAAGTGAAATAAAGTTTCACATCGCCGCTTGCAAGCCCGAATCGCGCTCGCTTGGCATGGAAGAGGGTGGGTATGCTTTGGGGTCAGTCGGGACTTCCCCCGAAAATCTTTATTTTCAGCGGTTTATAACTTCAGAGCTAAAAATTGTTGTTGTGTTTCACTTTGACGTACCGAAGGGGGAAAAAATCAGTGAGAGAAGGACGAAGTGTGTGTACGGGCTCTGGTGCTTTTTTCGACTTTGCATTACTTTGTTTAGTAAACAAGAATTTTGTGCGTCTTCGGGTGAAGCTGTAGTTTTATATCTTTATTAAGGAATAAAGCAAATAGCGTAAACCCAAGTTATATAATGTAAAAAAACTTTTTTTCTTTTTTTTTTTTTTTCTGAAGACGGGCGCAAACAATGTTTGTGCGTCATTTAGTGAGTTTCTAGGAGATAGACTATTAAGACCAAAAAAGAAAAAAAAAAAAGAAAAAAAACACCACCAGAAAAAACCAAGAATATGCTTGACGTTGTTTGGTAGTTGGAGGTTTCAAAAAGACGACCGGGACTGGATTTAAATAAAACTGACTGATCTGGTTGGGCTCAGAAGTAGTCTGTTGAGAAGAATGTTGATGCACATATGTTTGCAGTAGATAAAATAAAACAGCTCTCCTTTATGAACTGTAGAGAGTGTTACTATCCAGGGCTAAGACTAAATCGTTGCATTTAAGCGAGAGACTTAGTGACTGACAAGATCAAATTCACTGGCAAGACACTTGGTTAATTTGCAACCAAAAGCAAGAATTTATTTCCTTGAAAAACAAAATACCTAATACCGTAGATGCTAAGAACCAGAAAGAGTTACCAGTTAAGGTTTGGATAGTAACTTTAATGCCGCTGCTCCTGCAGCCACCCCCTGCCTGAGCACACACTGAGAGTCCTCACTGTTCACTGCGTGTCCACGCTGTATCTCTGCACCAGTAGATATGTTTGTGACAACCTTTTTTTATTTCTTTTTTATTTTTATTTTTATTTTTATTTTTATTTTTATTTTTATTTTTTTTTCCAGTAGGTGACTGTAAAACCGTATTCGGGTCTCGAGGAGAGGATTTGGTTTCTAGGGGCTGCCTGGGGCTAGTGTCTAAAAACCTCCAGTCTCCAGCTCTGGAAGCCCAAGGCTTCCCAGCCCCTAGGGTGAAGGTGTACGGAGGGGGATTGCTTCGGCAAAGGGAACGAACGCTTGTCTGTGGAAAAGCTGTGTTGTCGTGGTTTCAGGAGTTTTATTCCAAGTGAGCCGTGGGAGGGGGAGGTAGGTTATTACCTCCGTCTGCCCCGGAATCGCATGGAGGAAAATGCAGCGCTAGGGCCTGTTTGCAGTGGGGATGCTTATGAAAACCAGCCAGCCGGTCTAATATTGATTCATCGGCTTCAGCGTATAAACAGATTTAAACGCTACCGTGGAGGATTTAGTAGTCAGGAATTATTTTTCCATTAGATTTGCCTTTCTGTAGGTATATCTGAAAAGAGAGTAAAGACACTTTCAGCATCAGGAACTGCCAATACGTAGTTGAACTAGACTGAGAACTTGGTACGGCTTTTGCCATCGTGTTTTTAAGGGGTTGGATTTAACCTGAGACCCCCACTAAACATGGGGGCTCTGCTGTTGAATAACCATGGTCCGGTGCCAAATCTTTCCTTAATATTCCTGGTAATTACTGCTGACTCATGCTGACATGTGAGTTCAATTAGCCCCAACTGGAATGTAAAGGATGTGGGAGTGTCTCTTTGTGCCCAGAGACAGCTAGGACAAAGCAGATTTTGGAGGAAAATTTAAGGAATTGCCAAGTTTGGGTAGGAAGTGTCAGCCAGGCCTTTTTTTTTTACAGTAATGTTTGAATAACCAATAAAGTTGAGTCCCGGGAAGGGGGTGAATTTGGATAACACGGGCTTGTCTTCACTATGGAATAACTGGAGCCCTAACTCAGTCATTGCTTCTAATTTGACTCATGTCCACACACACACACAAACTCGTTGCTGAAGAGTGGTGATGTTTTCAATTTGAGTTGGCTTACCCATGAGGAATAAGCTATAGCTCAGATAACCACAATTCATCAGCTGCTAACACAGTCTGCCCCAGCGGCACAAGTGCGATTTCGCTCGACCCTGGCTGCTCCCACTTGAAGGGGGTTACCTGGGGAGCGGGCAGCACCTGCCTCCTTCCCTGCCACGGGCACATCGTCCGTGTGGACCGGGAGGTAAGCAACGGCGTGTTTGCTAACGGGAACGTTCCCACACCATTGCTGCCTAACTGCCCTGCTTGTCACAGCTCACTGGTAGTGGTCGCCGTCACCGCACGGCCACGGCAAGCGGGACAGGAGGACTTTGCATGCAGTGCTCCCTGATGCTCAGAATGGGGCACGGCTGCAACAAGATGTTAAAAGTAAGAGATTGTCTTTGCCCCAGAAATATATTTCCTGTCAGCTACCAGCTGGTACGAGAAGGTCAGTTATATGTCAGAGGTATATGCTAATATATATATCTCTCTCTCTAAATAAATCCAGGCGTACTTGACTAGGAGGAGCAACAGCGGCTGCTTTGGGAGAAGCAGTTTCTTTATTGGCCCTTTATGCAAATTGCTACCAGGAAACACAGGCCAGAATTTCTACAAACATTTTGAGGTCAAAGCAAAGAAGGTGGACGCAAGAGCAAATATGCACTTGACGTGTACCAAGGGAATGCATTTTTAAGAGGAAGATGACCCTCATGCAGACTCGTGGGTCTGTGTGAAGACTGAAAATTTCGAGGTGTTTTGCAAAGAATTTGACCCAGAGTTAGGCACCAGCTCAGTATCCTGAGATGGAAATATGTCTCTGTTGGTCCAGAGTTCCCATAGAGCTGTTGGCATTCATTTGGGTTTTAGTTCAACCTAGCTTCGGAGTCATGATCTTTGAGGTTACTGTAGCTGTTGTGGCTGTGTTGTGCTGTCGTCAAAATAACAAATATGACATGGGTAACTGCAGATTTTGAATGGATGGACTTACTGACTGCACAGGTGAGGTGAACAAAATGACGCTGACATAACGCCAACTAAATGCACCCCAAATACTTATCAACCCCCAAGGTCCCCAGTAGCAACGTGCCATACAACCATTTCAGTGTAGACAGGGTAGGATCTGCTCACTCAAGTTCAATCTTCAGGCACACGGAGGTGCAGCTCCAGTCACAAGAAACCCAGTATATGTCTCTTACCTTTGTTTTGGAAACCTTATTCTGGATCTTACCCTTTCCAGCTGAGAGATGCCTTCTGGTATGCAGCAGCAGGGCCAGTGCAGGATGGTGGTGTAAAACTGTGCAAGACAGCAGTGCTTACCAGCCTGTGGCAGTGGGACACTTTTAATAGGAGTGTAGATGAACGAAGCATTTAGCATGTATGGCATCATATTTGTCAGTTGGTGAGATTGCTTTGGGCTGGACCATACTGTTTACGGTTCTGAATGAAGGCTGCATCTTCAGACAATTAATAAATAATTTCCATGATGCAGTCTATTAAGCTGGGGCTGCAAAACATGTTTGCAATAATGTATTTGACGTGTACTGTGATTGCAGTGGTGCCTGGTGCACCAGAGGTACTGCTCTGTATTCAACAGCAGTATCCATGCATGGCATTAAATATATTAAATATGTATTCCTTACTCTTAAACTTTATTTGTATTGATGCTAAATGGTGGTCATTTCAGTAGGTTGAGCTTGCTGAAAACATGTGCTAACATAAAATCAAATTTTGTCACTTGTTAGGAATGTAAAAATCCACCATTATTGGATTTCTCCCTCTTCTGTAATGCCGGAGCTGAGATAGAATGAAGTGGAATTTGTGGCAGTTTTGTGGGGTCATTGTCTTGCTTTCCTGGGAGCTGTTTCCTACATTTGGTAGTATGCTGGTCCCTGGAAGTCATTATGCTGAGTAGCCTCTCGCACTTTTTCCTTTGCTGACACTTCAAATATTGCGCTCTCACCTGGCAGTCAGGGCAGCATTGTTTGGAAAGCGGTCTCTTCTTGACCTCCTTGTCTTTCACAGGGATTTGCTCCTCCAAAATCCGTTTTTCTGTTGTCTGAGAGCTCCTAGTGCATTTGTCGGTTTGAGTCTTCCCCTCCTCGTCCTCGAATGAGGAATCCTTCCACAAACACTGTGTTTTCTTCTTGTTTCAGGCCATTTCTAGAGAAGCAAAATTTGCTGAGGTTGTTCTGTGGGTGAAGAATACAGGCACTAGAGATTTTGGAGGGCTATATTGAGAAGACTGTCATTCAGATTGGAACTCCACAGGGGTCTCTCAGAGCTGTTCCCTATTTCGTGAGTGGCTCGAATGACGGGTCAGAGCATGTGGGCATTCAGCCTGCAGATGTCACCAAGCTGAAACAGTTTCAGGCACCCTGGAAGACGAGAGGCAAATTCAGAGTGATTTTTGACAGTCACAAACTCCAGAAAAGCAAGTGGGGTGCGAGTCTGTAAGGTCTTGTGCAGAAGTTTATCTTTGTGCAGGAATAATCGTGTATTCAAATACAGCATGGGGAAAGGCTGGCTAGGCAACACGAGCTAAGGAGAAAAGGATGTGGAAATTTGGTGGATCA